AATCTTATGCATAATAAATGCAAAATACAGCGGAAGACAAATAATCAAGTGATCTTTCACCAACTTAATAAATACCAGAGGAATAAACTAAAAATCACAAACATCATTACCAAATCCATGTAAAACAATAAGTAAAACATAAGGTTTACTACTCTAAATATAAGCAATATTGTTCCCAAAACAATTAAATATTTGTCTCAAAACTATAAAAGACATTTATTCCTAAAGACATACAATAAAATAACTCTTCAGTTCCTCTAATCTCTTACCTATCTGTGGACTTACTTTTCATCCTGATCCTCACCTGAAAAATATTAAATGTTTATATGAGCACAACGGCCTGTGAATAACAACCACCTCTAATGAGGCGTGAAAATAAATCCTACAATTTATATACAAAAATAAACTTTAATACACACATAAGTACAACAAATTGTACCACAACCCCTCACATATAATCATTTAAACAAAATGATCTCATGATCACAAATAACTTTATAAAAAGAAATTTATAACCCAAAATACCACTCATTTTCACCAATAACTTTATAAATGAAAAAATATTTATAACCCAAAAATACTCACACACACATTTAGTTCCAAATAAATTTTTCAAATCATGTTTGTTACTACTAGCCTGATAACTAGCTCAGTCTCTTGTTACCGCTAGCCTAGTAACTAGCTCAATCTCTTGTCATCACTAGTCTGATGACTGACCTGTATGTGCACATCCCTATACCGATCACATGGGTATACAATCTTGTTATCATTTAGACTTGGTAACTCAGTTCTCGTCTCATAAACATGATTTTCACACATATCAAAACTGTAGTTTTAGTCTCAACGCATACAAAATTTTCCTTTCATCATCAAATCAATGATATAAAATCATCCCACAAGTTTTCCAAAATTCACATATATAATAGTTCACAAGTGCAAAATATTTAATTGCAATCTCAAACATCAACACATATATATCATATATATGAAAAATTCACACGCACGCACCCACGTATTTAATATAAAAAATCCTCCCAAAAGAAGTAATAAACTACTCGCTTTGATTCCCAAAATCCAATTCAAATTTCTCTTTCTCAACCTCAATGCAATCACCAACTAAATCAAAATAACATGTACCAATCAATTCCTATTCCTAATTTTGAAATTTCTCGATTCTATATTTAATTTTTGTACTTTCTACCTATTGACATATACTTAATATATATCATGTACATATAAATATACTTTATAATATGTGGTAATAGGGTATAGAAATAGTCTAGACTTTTTAGAAAATGTTTCTAAAGTTTTGGGGTTAAATCATAATTATTTTGAAACTTTGGGGTCAAAGTGTAATTTCTTTGAAAAATGAATTTTCTATTTTCTAAACTACCATAAATTTTAAAAAATTATATTCTTCGAACTTACCTAGTAAAACAATAGTTAAAATTAAGTTTAGAAGAATATAGGAGTCAAACTAAAGCTCTTTGAAACTAAAGGGAATGATCCTGTAATTTTTAGATTTAATCTTCTTCTGGCTACGAAAATCCCAATTCCATTATCCAGCAACTTTAGCAAGTTAAATCCCTATTTCCTTTTCAACCTATATATAAAACTTTATTAAATCTCAAAAAAACTACATAACTCAATTTAATATAGGGTTAATCTCATTTTGCATCCCGAAAGATTGTTCGAATCTCAATTTGTACCCTCAAAGATTATAAATTTTAATTTACACCCTCAAAAATAAAAATTTGTATCAATGTGCACCCTCAAAGATCAAAAATTTTAATTTGCACCCTCAAAGATAGAAATTTATATCAATGTGTACCCCAAAGATAAAAAATCTCAATTTACACCCTCAAAGATAAAAATTTGTATCAATGTGTACCTAAAACTAAATTGATAAATTATATATAAATCTCCTCATATTTGTCAGTTAATCATTTAGACCTCTTCACATTTAGAATATTACTCCTACATCTTATGACATTTGTGCACGTATAACACGTAACTCATTTTCATTGATATTTATTAATATAACCGTTAAAAAATATAATTTTATCCTAATAAAAAATTATAATTTCATATTACCCTTTATTTTATAGGTTCAATATACTCTAAAATTCAAAATCTAGTTTACCATTTGAATGTCTAATAAAATATAAATATTTATATAATATTTTTCATATTACCTTTTATATAAATATCTACATTTTATTAGACATTCAAATGGTAAGCTTGATTTTCAACTTTAGAGTATATCGAATCCACAAAATAAAAGGTAATATGAAATTATAATTTTATTTTAGGATAAAATCATATTTTTTAACGATTATATTAATAGATATCAACAAAAAGTGATTATGTGTTACACATGCACAAACGTCATGAGATGTAAGGGGAATATTCTAAATGTGAAGGAGTTCAAATGATTAAGTGACAAACATGAGGGGATCTAGGTATAATTTATTAATTTAATTTTAGGTGCACATTGATACAAATTTCTATCTTTGAAGGTGCAAATTGAGATTTTTTATTTTTGAGGATGCACATTGATACACATTTCTATCTTTGAGGATGCAAATTGAGATTTTTAATCTTTGGGAGTGCACATTGATACAAATTTCTATCTTTGAGGGTGTAAATTGAAATTTTTGATCTTTGAGGATGTAAATTGAGATTCGAACAATCTTTCGGAGTGCAAAATGAGATTAACCCTTTAATATAATCTATATTTATATCTATATCTATTTTATACTACTTATAAATATCAGTATCTGTAAAAAAACTTTGATATTCCTATTTTATCCTTAATTATTATTATAAAGTTTATAATACCCACATATTACTTTCATCTCATTTTTATTTCTAATACCTATTTGACTTTTAAGTTATTTTGGACTCTTTTATTATAGTATTTAAATTTTAAATTATTTATTACTTTTATACACGTTTAATTTCTTATACCTATTTGACTTCTAAGTTATTTTGAATTTTTCTATTAATAGTATTTGAATTATAAATTCTTTTATACTCATTTATTAGTAATACACTTTCATACATTTTTTATATCTATGTAAATAACAAATTGTCTAATGGGTTAAGGAGATATCTAAACAAATGATAGATTTTTTTTAATAAATCAATAATTAAGTTTAACAATAGTTAAAATAAGAATTAATTATTCTACACATAATTTATGATTCAATTTATTTACATATATAATTTGAATTTCTTATAAAAAAATTGTTATTTAGATATATTCACGTGCAACGCACGTCGTGCATTTCTGGTAATTTCAAGGATCAATAAGGTACCATATATATATATATATATATATATTGTATCCTTGTTAGGGGGTATGTACAATGGAGTCAAAATTAAACATAAATTTATAAAATTGAAAAATTAGATTTAATAATGAGTAGATTATTTAGATCTAACTCTATAGCTAGTTCATCTAGATCTTCATTAAACACTATACCTAATATAGTAAATGAAGAAGAACATGAGTTTGGAGAAACAAGAGTAGATTGGATTGGATGAAATATCTCAAAAGTATCCCATCGAGACATCTATAAAACTAGTTGGCTCCTTAAAGCCTTTAATGAATAATTACAAGTCAAAACTATTGAACAGGTTTATCCTCTTTTTAAGGATGAACAAACTAGTCAATTACTATATATATATATATTATATAAAAGTATAAAAGCCATAAGAAAAGAAATCGATTCATACCTTTAATGGATTCAACCTTTTTTTTCTTTTTTCATTCATCTTTTCTTACTTCCTTTCTTCTTTCTCTCTCTCAGATATTTTTTTTTCTTTTCACTAGATAGATGTCTTCACAACCCTTCTCACTAAAAGACTATATCAAACCTAAATATATTTATACCTATATATAAAAAGTTTGATTTATTCAACAATACTATTATATTTAAAACACACATAAAACAGTTCTAATAGGTCTGTATAGGACAAGTCTTTTATTAGAGACACATCAGTCTTCTTTAAATTATTTGTTTATTTTTATATATATAATTACTCTTAGGTAGCAATGCACTAAAATAAAATAATTTTTTTTTTTAGATAATTACATGGTTGTAGCGGTGGTGGTGTTAATAATGGCAACGACGATAAAGTGATAATGGCAATAGTGGCGGAGGTGAGTGGTGATAATGATGACATTGAGATGGTCGAAATGGTGGTGGTTGGAATGAGCTGAGGTGATTGTGGTTGGGGTAATGGCCAATGTGATTGTGTGTTCATATAATGAGTAATAATTTTGAGTGAAAGTACTTAAACGTAATTTTAGGATGTAATTTAAGACAATTATTAGATTAGTTGCGAATTTTAATTTTAAATTGAGCCCACTTTAAATGCAATGATTGTATTGAATTGGATTCCCCAAATTAGGTTCAGGTAACATTTTCCATTAACTTCTCATATTTTTGGAATGACTATTCCTACATTAATGGGATTAGACATAAAAATGAGGAACACATTTTTGCTACCACAAAAGAGGCGCTGGAATACATGCCCATGTTCAATTGACTACATACCAAATGTAATGGTAAAGTTTCTAGTTGTGGATTTGCCGGATGCTGTGCACTTCCCGTTATGCCGCCTTTGCTCTTTCTCTTTTTGGGTTTTGCCAAAAAATTAGTTCCTTGTTGTGAGGAAAAGGTCTAGTTTGGAATGAGACATTAGAGAAAAAGAAAAATATGTGGTTTTCATCGACCCAAATTTTTTACTATATTTGTTATTTACCCGTTTTCTATTTTGGTTTCCCCTTGTTTTCTGCTGTCACAGTATATCAGCTGTTAATCACCCCTAACATAGTACAATGGGGGTAAAATCTTTGTTCTTCGGACATTATGTATTTTTCCGTGAACCCTGTAATTAATAAGACAATTATTGTTTTCCTATGTATTTTATGCGACTAATGCGCATTTGTCAAACTATAAATAGGAGACGCATGGGTGCAATTTTTCTTTTATGCAGAGTTATTCTTCTTTGAACTTTCAAGTTGGATGAATAGATAGGAACACCAAACATTTTTATGTTTGTTTCTCGGGTGTGTGCATCTTTAATTTAGTTGTATTACAGAACTTGGTAGTCCTGTGCATACATTAACCAAAATTAAGGTACATAACAATCTAACAATATATGGAAGAGAGGAGGACAGTCTTCAAGCTTTAACCAGGGGCGGACACCCTTCAACATGTATACCAGGGGCAGTAGGACAACTTGCATAAGGGCAATGATCATCTAACTCCATACCCCACCACGCGGGTCCGTTGATATCGTGTCCCTGTAATGTGAAGTAGCAAAGTATGGCCATGAAAGCAACCCCAGCATCAAGCCCTGCGGATAGAATGTAGTTATGCCTTGCCCACCAACCCTTAAACCTCCTATACACGACCAAGTTGAAGAAAATGCCCACAGCCAACCAAGAGATGTAGTTTACGGCCCTGGCTGGTGGCCCCGGGGCACTTGACAGAAGAATGGGCATGTTTATTAGCCTTATCCATTTCTGCTCCGGAAATTTTCGAGAAAGGAACCAAATAGGCAAAGGTGAAAGAATCCCAAACAGAAAGAAATAATTCATCTTGGAATATAGGCCAAGGCTACCAAACATGCGGCGAGGGCCAACAACACCCCATATCACTGATGCATTGTAGAATACCTCGTCTCCAGGGCATGTCCACGGGCTTCCTTCAGGCAATTTAGATGGATCGCATATGTATTCCACTGTGGTCAGGAGCCACCAACCTGTTCCGAAATAGACCGATGATGCAACTATTGTTCCCACTAACTTCATTAAGAATTATGGTCAAGTGTTAGTGTCACTTAAACAATTCCATTCTACATCAGTTAGATCAATCAAAAAATGGTAATTGAAAGCAGATGAAACGGGGGCAGAGAAGCTTAGCGATTACCTGAACAACAAACATGGATTTTGGAGGGATTTTCATGTAGTGACCTAGCTTAAAATCGGAGAGAAATGTAATGGCTTGTGACATGCTTATGTAACCATAGGTTTTGAAGGCCACATTGGCAAGTGGTTTCCCCGGATACATGTAACCAATAATTAGCTCGGTGATGACATTTAGTCCTGGTTGCTGCACAAATATTTCACAATCTGATCAAGTGTTAGAGAAAAAAAAAAGTCACTAAAAAACCTTGTGATATATGGATACTTACCTGGTTTGTCGTAGCTGTAATCACACCAATTGGAAGGGTGAAGAACAGAGCCAAAGCAATTGCCAATAGGACTCCCCAATAAGGAAGCTGTAATTGTTTGCCAAACCCTTCACAGGTAAGCAATGCTAGTCCAATTACCACTATCAAGATTGAGTGAAACCACCACTGAGGGACAGGATCATAGTTTTTCTTCATTAGTCTAGTGTGGACATCACCAAAATTGTCTTGCACAGATGCCTTTGTTTGTCGCCAAATTGTTCTGAAATTGACAAACCAGGATAACCAGAATTACACATCTAGCCAGTGTATCCACTAATCTGTAGAAAAAAAATGCAAGAGAGAACAAGAAATATACCTCCCATGGAAGAGTGCAACATGAGATATTGTGGCAGCCAATGTTGCAAAGCTTAGACCATAGGCAAATACAAACGCGATGCTCAAATTAATCTTGCTATAATCATCATATCCTTGCCGATTGAACTGGAAGGTTTTCTCGTTTAAAATAATTGAAACATTGTATAACCCTCCATCAGCATTGAACACATGTGTAGAGTAAATTGGAAATCGTTTGGCTTCATACAAGTTGTTCCAGTAGGCAATTGGGATCATAATGTAGAGAACTATAATAAAACTAGCCAGGATATTCACGATAGCAAATCCAGGGGTGGCTAAGGGACTTCCCAAGAATGCTGAAACAGTTGCCCAATCAAGAGCAAATGAGCCAATACCGAGGCCACGGAGACCAGAACCAATTTGATGTGCTGTGACAGAGTCCTTCCATATCCAACAGACAAAGGAGAGAGCAGTTATGGATTGAAACAGAAAGTTAGGCACGATGTAGTATGAGAAGCTTGATATAAGGACCACAAGGAAGAACTGCAGTCTCGTCAGGCCCGCTTTTGGCCTATTCTCATCCTCATGCAAAGCCCTACAAGTTCAAAATAGAGTTTGAGCTGGAACACAGAGAGAGAGAGAGAGAGAGAGAGAGAGAGAGAGAGAGAGAGAGCACCTAAAGAGAGAAACTTGAACCAAATTGGAAGGCCACCACATGTATGGTGAATCAACTAGGAACTTCCGGAAAATACCAGCCCAACCATATCCAAGCAACTATATGTTCCAGCAATTAAGAATCATCAGAGAAAAGATAACGGAGAATATTCGGAAAGTTTGAGGCAAGATAAAATTTTCACCAAATATGACATGTCTCTTAGAGTATCTCCGACCCTTCCATTTTTTTAAACCTATTGGATAAAAAATTTTAAAAACCTTCTCTAACGTTAGACTCGTACTCTTATCAAAATCAACATAGACTCATTTTTTTTACTCAAAGAAAAACTTAAATTCATTCTCAAATTTTTAATTGTGAGATTTCACTATATTTTAAAGATCGAATAATCATATTTTACCTTCTTTTAAATTTAAGTTTGTTTTCATTTAAATTTGAATTTCTCTTCTTTTAAATATGAGTTTCACCATTGGAGATATATATACCAAATTAAACTTTTTACTCATTTTATTTATTCAAATTTGGATAAAATTTTGAGTTTTTATTAGAGATGATCTTAAACAGTTTTACAACCGACGTGGGCATGGATGATGCAGTAATAAGCTGATGATAAATCTTGACAGTAATATCAGTTTCGATGTCAAATGAAAGCAAGTATAAATAAATTGAGTAGACTAGGTAAGTTGGACCTAAAGAAATTTACCTGAGTAGTCTGCGTTAGTAACATCGCTGCGATAGCATTAATCTTCCGTTTATAGAATGCTTTCACGATCGTAATAATGCCCAATGCGTAAACAGGACTTGAGCCTGAATTAGCAAATATGGTGATCAGAACATGCTCTTTCAAGTTGAAAGGCCCCGGATTTAACGAAAAGGACCATTTGGTTCGGGGAATGCGTATGGATTTGTTGGGCAGATATGCAGCCATAAGCTTTCCAATGGGAAGTACCGCAATTTGGGCTGAAACAGAGGATACATATAGTGGATTCTGGCGATAACCAAAGAATTGGTTCAAGAAAGCCAGAAGAGCGCAAGAAGTGAGCCCCAAAACCCATGTCCGGAAGGTCAAGCATGGTAACGATGGATCATCCGTTATTGAGACTGTGAGTCGGACTTGCTCAATTGGAGAATCATTCACCTCATCTGCAGAAAACTTTGTTTCAGTAGTATATATACCAACCAGGTTCTCATAAACATGGATCATAAAAACTTGCTGTTTAAGATGGAATAAAGAAAGCGCAGGTACAGAATCTAAACTCTCTTATATTTTTCGTGTGCTTTATCTTGCATAGGCATGGAACATGAATTTCTTCATACTTGACAAATTGTCCAACAATCTTGAATTTCTCTTTGATAATGGATCATGTCATTCAACTTCACAAGGTGGGGTTGTTATCATAGTTCTGAATATCGGTAACGAGTGATGTAACGGTATTAATAATGGTGTAATGGGCACGAGGTGTAACGGGCGTTACGTAACAGTAACGGAAATCGAAGTCGTGAATTTCGTTAATTCATTCACAACTATAGGCAAAAATCAAAATTTTCTATATATTTGGACCAAAATAAAATAAATTCAGTTTTTTTGTAATTTATAATAATTTTTTATTATATTAATGATTTTAATATGCTAAATTGCTTAATTATTCCAAATTTAGAGCAAACGAAAGAAAATTAGTTTAAACAATTAATATATATTTATTTAAAAATTATATTCAAAATAGGGAATAGTAAAAATAAATTTAGATCATTGGGGTAAGATAAAAAAAAAATTGCAATTGTAAATAAAAAATATTAGCTGGTAAATTCGTAAAAGGAGGACCCATCACTTACAAATTTTTAATCTATTTAAATACATTCCTTCACAATGTCAAAAAACATGACACTTGTCATTTATTCATTGACTAAATTAATTGATAATGAATAACAATCATTCAGTATATAGGTTGTAAAAAGAATGTGCTCCACTTAATTTTTGCCTCTCTAAAAATCTGCCACCCCATGATAGCCTGTCATTTCTCAACCCACAAACCTTTATCTACCGTCTTTCTAGCCGGTCATCTCTTCCGGCCATGAAACCACCATGGATGAGCAGTCGAAACTACAAAATTAGGCCGTTTAGGTAGTGTAACGGACTGTAAAGCTCTTATAATACCCGTTACACTCCGTTCGTAACGGCCGACGTGAAATTTATTCTACCCGCTATAGCGGTGTAACAGAATCGGAGTTCATCGTTATTGTTATATAACGGCCGTTACGTACCGTAACGACCGATCTTCAAAATCCTGGTTGTTGTGTGCAACTCTATACAAAAAGTCTAAGATCTATTTGATTACAGGAATAGCCTTCTTTAATCGTGGTGTATGCATTGATGATAATGATAAAGATCAAAGGGTGTTTACAATCCAAATGCTTAATAGAGAATAATGGTTGGGAGTCACGAAGATCAGAAGCATATCAAACCTAAATGGAAACGTAGGAAAGATAGAAAACAGTTCCAAAAGAGACAAAAATCTTCTATATCATTCTATATTGGAAAACTTTTCAGTGTTGTTTCTTTTTTCCATCATCGGAATAAAGTAGAAGAGGAGGGTGGGGGTGAATGAAGCTTACCAGTCTGTTCATACGTGAGTGTGTCCGGAGCAGGCTTCCAGGGCTCAGACGACACCGGAGTTATATAGCTCTCCGAATGCTCCATGTTTCACACACAACACAAGTGCACGAAAAAGATTCCAATATGTATGCTATTATTATACTACTATATGTAATAAGAAGTTGGGACCATAATTCTTTAACGTAAGGAGTGTTGGATTCCAATCTGTACTCTTTCCCCCACCTTTCATTTTCGCCAGTTTCATTCTTTTAACCTTCTTGTTTGGTTCTTGTAATATATCAAGTAAGTATATAGGCAGTGAGAAGCAATGGTTGGAATGGCCATCAACATTTAGTAAATACAAGGCCAGATATCACCAAGTATAAAATGGCAACGACATTAATATTTGTCACTCATTGCATTTATTAATTTTTTTAAAAAAAGAGGAATTTGCACATATTCTGTCATATGCAGCAAATTTTTGTATTTCTTCCTCGCACTTGATTAAGTGTCATATTTTTTGCGCATATTGAAACTCGTATATTTTTTTAATTTTCGGTCAAAAACTAACACATTGACACTGAATCACGAAAAATAAATGACACCCAGTTTAGTCTTTATTAATGGGATCAATGGAATAGATTTGGTACAGATCTACCATTATGAAACGCAAGTGAATCTTGTGCAATTCTCACGCCCAATAGTCAGCATAGCAACTATGAAAAGTGAACCTTTGCTCACCAGAGACGCTGGTGTGTTTTTGCAATTACTGAAAGAAATGTGGTAGTTAGTTCATAAAGTGATTAAGGAAAGAAGAGGCAGCAACCAACGCAATAATTAAATTAAAGCCTAAAATAAGAGCATATATATACCAACTTTTCACTAGATTCGAGTAGAATTGTATCAAAAACTGTGGTCATGTTTGGTTTGTGATCCCAAAATAATTTTTTGTTTTCAAAATTTCAAAAACACCTAAAATCTGTTTGTTTAGAATTTTTGTTTTCTAAATTTTGGAGAAAAAAAATAAGATTTGAGTCAAACAAATAAAAAACAAATGTAGTTTGTTTTCAGAGTTTTTTTTGAAAATTTTGGAAACAAGAACAACAACAATATATATATATATATACTAGTTATTACCCGTGTCTGAAGATACTATATAATAAATAAAAAAATCTTAAATAATTGTCCAAATTTAAAAGGAATGACATAAAAATATTTGTACTAATTTTTTTTTTAAAATGATTCGAATATATCGTCGATCATATCCTCTATATTAATGGAACTGTCATAAAAATATATAAAAATTTTCCAAAATAACACCACATATATAAATGCCCCTGGAAAAAAAATAAATACTAACATAACTCGTTGAAATTTATAATTTTTAACCAATAAATAAAATTTGATTCATTTATAATACTCATGAATTTATCACTTCTACTACCACTCAATCTAATAACACAAAATAATTATAAATTCACTCACTATATTTTCAATCTACCATATTCCCATGGAATAAATACCTCAAGCAAAAAAAAAAACTAACAGAATACAATTAAATTCACAATCTTAATGCAATAAATAAAATCAACCAAATCATGCTCATTAATTTATTACCATTTAACCCTAAAATGACATAATATAATTATAAATTTAATCACCAAATTTTTAATCCTCCACAGATAAATATACACAGAAACACACTCACACACATTTTTTTTGGTTACCAACAAACTCTCCTAACCGAACTGTTTTTATTAGAAATATAATAATTTAAGTTTGTAAGATAAAATAATAATAATAAATTAATATTTAATTAAAAAATAGGGTAAAATTTACGGACATAGCCTAAATTTTGGTTATATTACACAGACACCTCCTGATATTTTATAAATAACACGGAGACCCCTGATGTTTAAAATATATTGCACAGAGACCCCCTTCTGTCTCCTTTCTATCAACGTTGCTAACGAAAATTGATAATTTTTTCTCAAAAAACTTTATTATTTTTACAATGGCCTTTCTCCATATTCAATACCAAAAAAATTTTAAAATTTGATTTTGTACCCAAAAAATTGATATAATTTAGTACTCTAAAAAATTAATTTGATATTAATTCGACAAAGTTGAGTATAATTTAGACAAAATTAAATGTTATTTTTTTTTATAAAATTATATATAAATTTACAATTTAAGGTTCATTTCGTGTTGAATATTATTTAGTGTTTATAGTCAATGTGTTATTTTTTTATTTACATTAAGTGTTATTTACAAATTAAGAAGCAAATGGTAAAATACATGTTATCAGTATATAACAAAAATTAATTAGTTTCATGGAATAAATAATTACATAATATACAATTTCATCTGTTTTATGAAATAAATAATAACAAAAATAACAAAGAGGAAAAAAGAAGAAGATAATAGTATGAGAGAGAGAGAGAAATAGAGTTACACAAGAAATGAGAGTTTTAGAGTTGTAAAAGAAATGAAAGTCCAATTAGGACCATGAGATCAAAATGATCTGAGCTGCGAAAAGTTCAAAACAAACAATCTAACTACTTTATTATATATATATATATATATATATATATATATATATATATATATATATATATATATATATATATATATATATATATTAGTCATAACTCGTGCCTAAAGACACGATAAAATATAAAATTCGAGCATCCAAAAAGTCGATCAGTACTGACATACTAATGTGAAAAAATATTAAATGATTAAATATACGATAAAAATGAGTGATGTAATATTTTTAAGAAAGAAATATATAAATAATTAAACATGTTATAGAAATAAGTTATACGATTTGACGTTTAAGTCTGACAAAGGAATGATGATTGAGGTAAGTGATTGGTAATAATTTTGAGAGAAAAAGTATGACTGAGATAAAATTTAAACACATTTCTGTTTTATTATATAGATATATACATATTTTATACGTTTAAATACATATATAACAATATATATTTTAAAGTTTGATTAATTGATTTTTTTTTATGAAATTGTCAATCTAAAAATAATTTTTTATATATTTTTTTATTAATATTTGAATTACTGTTCAAATATAAATTTAAGTTATCTAAACAAGTTTTATTATTTTTTCTATTGTAAAATTGTTTTTAAAATCATCTAATCAAACAAGTTTTTTATCTCAAAAAATTTTAAAACTACTTTCTTAAAATTTTTCACAAAAATTATTTTTAAATACTATTTGTTAAAACGGAAATCAAACGGCTCCGTAATTCTTCTCCTCACTTTCACCGTATATTATATGAAAATCAACTCCATACAATGAATAAGAGTAGTGGGCCATAATAATTTTGTAGCCCAGGATAGTGTCATAATAAATACACATTGGAAAATGATGGTGGTGATGGCCCACAGGACCAAGCTAGAAAGTAACGACAAAAATGATATTTGCAGAGCAAGGGGCATAATCTACTAAGGACTACTACTATTGACCACACAATCAGCGAGTTGTGATATGTGTTTCAGGCATATCATATTTATTTATAAGAATAAGAAAAAAGGAGGCCAATAATTACCGAATGGTGAGAAAAGATGCGCCGCACATCCCATCCCATCCCATCCCAGGTTTGTAATATATTAAAGGGTAAATTACAAATTATACTCTCAAAGATTATTTAAATTTTAATTTTTACAGTTAAAGATAAAAAAATTTTAATTTATACCTTCAAAATAAAAATTTATATTAGTATGCACCCCCAATGATAAAATTTTTTAATTTACACTCTCAAAGATAAAAATTTATATTAATGTGCACCCCCAAAGATCAAAATCTTAATTTACACTTTCAAAGATAAAAATTTATATTAATATGCACACCCCAAAAATCAAAAATTTTAATTTGTACCCTCAAATATAGAAATTTACATTAATGTGCACTTAAAACTAACTGCCGATAATTTTCTGCCTAAAATTAAATTGATAAATTATACTCAGATCCCCTCATACTTGTCACTTAATCAGTTAGACTCCTTCACATTTAGAATATTACTTCTGCATCTCATGATGTTTGTGCACGTGTAACACGTAACCCTTTTTCGTTGATATCTGTTAACCGTTAAAAAATATGATTTTATCATAATAAAAAATTATAATTTTATATTACCCTTTATTTTGTGAAGAGATTCAAATAATTAAGTGACAAGCATGAGAGATCTAAATATAATTTATTAATTTTGTTTTAAGTAGTAAATTGACAGTAGTTAGTTTTAGGTGTACATTGATACAAATTTCTATCTTTTAGGGTACAAATTGAGATTTTTAATCTTTTGGAATACACATTGATACGAATTTCAATTTTTGAGTATGCAAATTAAAATTTTTTATCTTTAGGGATACAAATTAAAATTTGAACAATTTTTCAAAGTGTAATTTACAATTAATCCTATGATAAAAATACTATATTTGATTTTCCCACATGTTTAAAGATGAGCATTTTAATTTTCTTTGTTTGTCATCAACCAGACGGGATTCCCATAATTGGATTGCCCAATTTATACAATCCATCTAATCTTGACACAACAATTTGTTTGATTAGTTATGACATGTATATTATTGCCCCATGTGTATTATTAAATATATAAGTGGAATTGCCGTTTGCAAGAAACACTCCTACTTTTTCATAGGTGTCAATCTTAATTAATACTTGAAGGGCATAACTTCATTGTTCATTCCACCATCTAGCCGGCTCATTGTCTTCGATCTCCGTCTTTAACCCTTGTGACCATCGCACCGAGATTGGGAACATATGGACGTACGAAAAATATACAAAAGGTTGAGGTGGGACCATCTTAAACTGAAGCATTAATGGGTTTGTTTTGCTTAGTCGATCTTCCAAAAATCATTGTCCTTATTTGATTATGAAACATCGGTTTTCAAGACCGGCAACCAGCTACTTTTGTCATGCGTTAGCTCTTAGGCATCTAGTACATGATGGTCCCACGTTGGAGAAAATATTTGAGGTCCATACCTCCTTAAAATTTTGATAGGATAAAAGTAAATTTTTTAAAATTATTGGAATAGAAATATATCTGTTAAAAAAAAAGTCATAAAAGTTTTTTACTCCTATCATAAATAATTCATACTTAATTGAATGTGAGACTTTCAATATTTCTTTTGATATTTGTGTATCATTAAATTTTAAAATTTCATATATATATATATATATAATATTAAATAGTAACACGTTCAATAAAAAATAGGAACATAAAAGATTAAATTTTTTATTAAGTATGTTACTATCTGATGTTATTATTATTTTTTTGAGAGCAGTTACCACTCAACAATGACC